GCTTGAAACCCATCTTCACACTGATATAGCACAAAACAATTGACAGTCATGATCATCCTCTTAAGAAGATGAACTAGAATCTAACAATCCTAGAAATATGAAGCATCAAATAATCACTCATGTAACACCGATAAAACCAAATTGGGCTGAAAACCCACATGACACATTCACATTCACATTCATTTATCAATTTACCATGGGTTTTTACAAACTAGAGAGACAGAGGACCAGAACTTACAGTGTCATCCCTTTGAATCTGAACTTTCTCGAATTGGGGAGAAGCGGAAGCAGCCATCGAGCGAATTGGAGGACGTAAGGAAGCAGCAGCGACAATGGAACAAGCGGGTAGAGGGCCCAAGCGTCTCAACAGGGATTTAGCAGCTAGATGGAGTGCCATTTTTCCTAGCAATTTCGATTTAAATAAGCAAAACCCAACCAACGTTCCCTGGTTCCCTCGCTCTGAACATCAATATCAAAATATGGGCCCACCACTGTAAACGTGTAAAAGTACAATGTCAACCTTATCTAACACACTCAAGCTCAATCAAATGCTTCTACCCTATTCTAGAAGCCCCCAAACACCATTTAGAATCCTCAAATACTCCTTTTTGTGCCACAATGCCATAATATATCTTAGACCATTCTAAATAGGAGTGACAAAATGCCATAGTATAACTAATAATTATTTATATTTGAAAATTTCGGCAAGGATTGCGATGCTGGCCTTGTTTGTGGGTGCAAACTCATCCAAAGGGATTTGTTAGAGAATGGGTCCTATTAAATTACACTACGAGCGAAAGGCTGGTCATAAGACTGCCCTCGCTCGAATCGCTGGCAATGGCAGCTTTTGAAAATGGAAAAATTAGAAGTTCATACAAAAGTTTTGAAATGGTAGTTCCGAGAAGAGAGGAATGAATTTTGAAAGGATTTTTAAAATAGCTGAAAATGAAATAAAGTAAAGAAAATGGAGGCATAACCTAAGCAGGGCCCCAGGCCTAGCACCTAGAGTCGATGCCGGTTCAAGATAGAGTCGATGCCTGTTCAAGATCAGTACAACCTACGCGACTTTCACCGATTCCTTCCGAGCAAGGCAGGTTTAGGATAATGAAGTTGAAGAGTACGAAAATGCGAGGTTTAGGTATTTAGGCATGCTAGGTTGAAGGTTTGAGACTATGGGTCTAGGGTTAGTGTGGGGTTTTGCGAAGTCTGGTTTCAGTGTGGCAGAGTCTAGGTGTAATGTTCAGGATCCGGCCCCTAAAATGGGGGGAGGGGGAAGAGGGGTTGGTGGTGTTCGACCCCTATTATAAACATTTGTCCACCTTAATCACCATCCAAAATCTTGGATCAAATTTGGATTATTCGATGCCAACGCCACTGGTGGTCTCATCAACACTACTATCAATATCATTGATCCGTCATGATTACAAGTTGCATGACATGCAACCCATCGGTTTACAGTCGATGTAATCATGGGCAATGGTATGTTAGATGCATAACAACATTGTAACCTTCGTCGGCTCTACCATGAGTGTCTTTTGTGTGAAATCTGGGCAAAAGCGTTATTGATGTTGATGCAACTTCCACTACCATTGAAGCAATGATAACCTCTTTCCATCGAATTCCAGTATTGGGCAGTGGTTTCAACCAATCAGAAATTGTCATTACTAGTATTGGGGTTGATGCGAGTAGTAGCATTGTCATAGGTAATTATGACAAATCTACTATTCAGTTTACACATTCCGATGTCAAGCGATTGGTGGTAATCTCAGCCAATCAAAAGTCGATGTGGGTGCTAATGGCGTCAACAATATTGCTTGTGTCGTTATTAGTAATCATTGCTTTTTAGTACCTGCATTCTGAGTTGTCAATTGACATGCCAATTCAGCGAATTTAGCCACCACTTAATCAACGAGACTGGGAGTTCGTTGATGTGTTTGGTACTATAGCCATGGGATCCCGACAACCTTATCCCTTTCATTATCATGTGTAGTTGCTCCCAAATTCGATCTTCTTTGATTAAGGGTTGTCTACCTTGGATTTCTTCTTATCGACCATTTCTGGCATGTCAGAGTGTCTTCCAATGTTCCAAACGTTGCTACGTGGTTCTAGTACTAGGGTACAATCCTGGGTGGTTCAGGCTTCAGGGTAATTGTCTGGAGGATACTTTGGTCTTCCTATAGATTTCTCAATCAGGATCAGGGTTTCTACAGTTGCCCCTGTTTGTTGCTTGTGTCACACCGCATAATGTGAGACGGGCGGCAAAGACATAGACACCTGAGGCACAGAACTAGAGTAACATTGAGTTGAATAGAGGGGCATGCACGGGGTGCGAAATAGAGCCCTTGCTCAGAAGCTTGACAGTAGCCGTCTGTGCTGCATGTGGTCTCTAAGACCTAGTGGTGAGCTTAGCCCATTGGTCGGGGCAATCGATGCAAGCTCCATTGTTAGCTAAGGTCCTTGTGTCAAATTTTTTAGTTAGACTACGTTTTGACACATAAAACGTATTTGAAAAGGCAGAGAAATCCCGATCAAGTGAATTAGAGGCCACCTCGTGCCCCAGGTGTTTCCTAAGGATGAGGGTTCCGATTGGTAGGTGTTTGGGCAATGGATTACGGGCTTGAGCAGGTTTAGGGGTTTGGAAGAACGGTATTTTACCTTGCGACATCCCATTTCAAGTCTCCAGTAGTCTCTAGTGCTTTCTAATCATCATGACCAGGTATGGATCTGACTTCTTCATTTTCAAAAACATTTTTGGTGTGATTTTGAAACATGGAGAGGTTTTAGAAATGGCTATTTATGCCAGATTACAACTTGAATCAAAGAAATTATGGTTTTCGAAAATCATAGATACAAAAATTTCAAAAGCGTCCAGATGAAGGTTGCCCCTAAATCTTGAGGTTGGAAATTAATAAACCAAAATTAGGAAATTGTAATTAATAAATTTGAAACAAAGAAATTAAAGTTGGGGGATTTTGAAAACAATATTGATTTTGCCACCATGGAGCTACTAGGAAGGCCATCTACAAATGATGCAGTTTTTGCCACGGTGGGGTGACTAAAGAAAGAGTTTTGAGTTATGAAAACAAAATGATCATGCAATATAGACTCATGTGACTGGGGAGCCGACTAAGCAGTTTAACATCATGCATTGAAAGATGTGTCTTTTATACCTATCCCAGCTATTTTATGTTGCACGGGTTAGACATGGAACTAATATTGGGTTCCCGATCTTTTACGTCATACCGAAAAGACATTTTGAGATGTGTTTTTGACAATAGAAATTGACCCTTGTGCTTGGAGCTGACTAAAAACGGTTTTGAAATGACAATTTGGTTCATGCAGGAACTGATTGATTTTTTTTTTTTTTTAATTTGAAAATGGTAGTTTGGATTCATGCTCGAAATAAGGAGAATTTGATTTTGAAGAGTGATTAGTAGTTTAAGCACATGCCACCAAGGAGCAGTGAAATAAATGCCTTTTAGAAGAGTATGAGAGAATTGTCGCATTGTCCAGTTAGTCACATCATGGCTCGTACTCGCCGCAACAAGGGAAACTGCCTAGGAGGGACGCATAGCTGAAGTGTGAGCTTGACTCTAGGAAAGCTAAGCCAGCTCTAGCTTAGACTGTGGTTGATCTATCTCAATCCTCTGGTTTGGCGCCTCGATCTCGCCCCTCGGGTCGGGATGACCTGGTGGCGTGGTTCCAGGTTCTCGTCGAACCCGAGACCTGAGATCGCTCTCTCGGGAACCACATAAAGAGGACGCGGGCAGGAATACCAACCGGTGAGAGAGGAATTTGGTCGTGAGGCGGGACTTACCTCACATGGGTTTGTGACACACTCGGGTTGTTCGCGTGGGTGCCTTCTTAGATCATGAGAAATGTCCCCTGGCTTGAGGCCGGTTTAAAATCGCCTCCCTTGACATGTTTATTCCTTCCTGCATCCACACACACACGCAAGTTAAGGGGACAGACAAGTGGGTCAGAAGACCCCACCTTGTCTTTGAGTGAATGCACATAACTGTGTACATTCAAAGGAAAAAATGGGGGAATGGCGCCTTTGAGTCCGTGTCAATTGGACAGCTTTCGCATCTTCTTAACAGGGGACTCACGACAACATTCCTTAATAGAGAATGAGAGAAAGGGGGTGAGATAGGGAAACTAAGAGAGGGAAGAAAAGAGATAAGAGATAGAAAGAGAAGATAATATAGAGAGAAGCGCGAAACGAATACTAGTTTGACTTTCACCTAGTTCTTCAAAAAGAGAGGAAAAAGTAGAGAGAGAGAGAGAAAAGAGAAACAAATGCTAGTTTGGTTTTCACCTAATCCTTCAGAGAGAGAGAGAGAGAGAAGAAAGAATAAGGAAATTGGGAGAGAAAAGAGAAAGAGGAGAGAGAAGAGAATGAGAGAAACAAAAAGGGTGAAGGTTAGCTTGCCTTTCGCTAATCTTCCAAAGGGGGAGGAGCGAGATGATGAAATAAGAGAGAGGAAGAGAGAGGAGAAGGAAGAGAGAAGAAGAGAAGGGAGAGAAAAGAACAGAGAAGAAGAGAAGAGGTGAGAGAAAGAGAAGAGAAGAGATGAGAGAAAGAGAAGAGAAAAGAAGAGAAGAGAGAAAAGAAAAGAGAGAAGAAGAGAAAGCAGGGATGACAGCTAAACCTGTCTTCCCAAAGATGGGAAGAGAAGAGAGGGAAAGAATTTGGGACGGCGGGTTGACCTTGTCGTTCCAGAGGGAAGGAGAGAGAAGAGAGTTTGAAGAATGAAGAAAGAGAGGAGAGAGAATATTGCAGGCGACGGGGTAGACAGCCGTCCCAGTGAAAAAGAGGGGAGAAGCTTGGCAAGGTGGCTAAACTGTCGTCCCAGTGAAAGAGAGGGGAGACGTTTAGGACAGCGGGTAAGACTGCCATCCCAGAGAGGTGAGAAAGAAGGTCGGGGACGACGGGTGAGCCTGCAGTTTCGAAGAGGAGAGAGAAAGAAGAGAAATAACAGAGACGGCAGTTGAGCTCACCGCTTGAAAAAGGGCTCAGGCTACCGTCTCACTCATGAGAGAAGCCCAGAGAGAGAAGAGAAATGACGGAGACGATGGTTGAGCTCGCCACTTGGGAAAGGGCTAGGGCTGTCGTCCCAGTCATGAGAGAAGATCAGAGAGAGAAAAGAGAGATGAGGAGACGACGGCTGAGCCCGCCACTTGGGAAAGGGTTCAGGCTGCCGTCCCAATCATGAGAGAAGATCAGAGAGAGAAAAGAGAGATGACAGACACGGCAGCTGAGCCCGCCACTTGGGAACGAGCTGGGGCTATTGTGTCAGTCAGTAGAGAGAAGACATGAGGGAGAGAAAGGAAGACAAACCAGGGCAGCAACTGAACCCGCCATTCAGGAAAGGGTTGAGGGCTGCCAACTCGGATATGAGAGAGAAAGGGAGAAAATGAGAGAGAAAGACATGGGCAGCAGTTGAGCCCGCCACTTGGGAAAAGGCTCAGGTTGCCGTCCCAACCAAGAGAGAGAGGGTAAGAGAGAGAAAAAGAGAGGAAGGAAAGGAGAAGAGAGAGAAAGAAAAGAAGAAGAGAGAGAAAATGAAGGAAGAAGAGAGAGAAAGAAAAGAAGAAGGGGGAGAAAAG